TATTATTATTATTATTATTATTATTATTATTATTATTATAAATTTTATGGTTTATTAATGAGCTATTTTAAATTGTATACTATTAATTGACAAGAAAAATATCAAAAATAGAAAACTTACTGTTTGGAGTGTTTCTTCATCCCATTCAATCATTCGTTTAGCAAACTAAAAAAAAAAATTAGAAAAATATAACACAAAATATTGTTTCCAATAATTAAAGTAAAATTTACATAAAGAAAAGCATCATTGAAATGCAACGCAAAATATGTAAATGCTTGTCAATAAAATTATACTAATAAATTAGTAAACAATATCAGAATTAAATTACTAATAATATTAATTGCTGGAATACACTAATGCTTTTTTTGATTAATATTTTATTGAAGAGATGATAAGCAAGGAATATGCAAATATTTAATTCATTTACTTATTTAATAATGATAAGAATAATTTACATACCGGATAATCATTAACATCTGCAAGTGTTAATACTAATTGTTCCAATTCATGATAATAAAAATCTTGACATAATGGAAATAATTCAACATACATATATTGTTCCACTCTTGGATCAAATAAAAAATCTTCATGAAGCTTATATGGATACATCATTTCTGTAATAAATAATATTTACAATTATTTATTTAAAATTGAAATGAATATTAATTAATGAGAAGGGAAAAATTTAATTAAATATGCTAAAATATTCATTTTTGAATTAAAACAAAGGCATACCATAAAATTAATTATTCCTTTTTTTTTCTCTAACAGATTAAATTTCAAAAGGATAGAAATTTTTCATCTTTTTCATAATAATAATTGAAATTCAAATTGAAAATATTAAGATTAATTTGTCATTTGTTATATTAGCATTTCAAAAATGAGAAAGCTCAAAGCTAAATAATTATCTTATCATCTATTTGCAAATGGGTTTTTTTTTTTTTTAGTGATAATTATTTAATCAATCATAATTTTATATTATTTAAATAAATAAAAAACAATATATATTGGTTGCAATATTGGTATGCAAGTATGATGATGTCATAGCATTACGTAAAAAAAATGCACATCACCACGTCAAAAAAATCACGCAAAAAGCGTACAAAAATGTTTATGATCATGATTATTACGTATAAACGGTATTATAATAATACTTAAATATATATATATTGTAATAATAATAATAATAATATTATATATATATGTATATCATCACGTTAAAAATTCACGTAAAAGCGTACAAAATGTTTTATGT